GCCCACGGCAGCCGTAGCTGCGCGAGCTAGCCTCGGGTGAGAGGTAGCGGAACCTGCTGGCCCACGGCAGCCGTAGCTGCGCGAGCTAGCCTCGGGTGAGAGGTAGCTGAACCTGCTGGCCCACAGCAGCCGTAGCTGCGCGAGCTAGCCTCGGGTGAGAGGTAGCAGAACCTGCTGGCCCACAGCAGCCGTAGCTGCGCGAGCTAGCCTCGGGTGAGAGGTAGCTGAACCTGCTGGCCCACAGCAGCCGTAGCTGCGCGAGCTAGCCTCGGGTGAGAGGTAGCGGAACCTGCTGGCCCACAGCAGCCGTAGCTGCGCGAGCCAGCCTCGGGTGAGGGACGGCGGCCCGACTCCAAGACCAGCTTATCAGGCACACAGCCAGGCAGAAGTGGCCCGGCCGACGCGTCGCTAGATTAGTCTCAACGTAACGGCCTTTTGCATTGCTCGACAGCGCAAAGCCACCAAACGGAGCCACCGGTGCCACCGACGGCAGGAATCACGTGCTTCTCGCGGGAGGAGGCAGGCATGACAATGGTAGGCCGGTCCCAGCGACTCCGACTGCAGGAAGCTCTAGGCAGCGAGTGCCACCACCTGCCGAGCGTCGTGGATGTGGAAGTTCTAGCGCTGAGGTGTCAAGAGGGTCCATACACGGCGGCATGACGGCAGATGCCAGCGCCGTCTGCTCCTTGTCAACACGGCGCAGCAACGGCAGCGTAGTGTCAGTGGGATGGGACCTGACACGTAGTCCTGTCGTACGAAAAAAGTGAGATGTAAATGTTGCTCTCCGATTTCAACACTGTGATCAGAAAGAACGCATGAAGTCATGACTGAAGGGACAAAAAGGATCGCAGCACTCTAGCTAAATTCTTGCAACAAATGTCACCAAACGAACACCAAACATACTACAACACGGTATGCCTATTTCATACTAAATATGTGCCCCGCATTTAATTCGATGCTATCTTTACAGCAGCCTGCTCAAGATGCACATTAAACCTGTAGTACACAGAAGTCTTTAGCTACCACTTTCGGCAAGCAATTCCACAATGCTACAAATCAACGGAATCATGCAATTCAAATACGATATCAATGAGCCAATGGCGTGGCGTAAGCAAATCATCCAAAACTTGGTACAATATTAGTCATTTAACCTAAACAAAATCTGACGACAAATGCAATCTCATTGGCATGTCTAAGAGACAACCTGTTTTTAGTCTGTGAGCCTTCATTGTAGGGATATCTTGCAAACTACGACAAAATGGTATTATGTAACACTTTTGACGCAGTCTGTTGTCATCCATAACTTTTGTCCCAGATGCTAACTGTCAGGCCTTAGAACAGGTCGTGAATTTGAGGAAAAATTAGATCTGATACAAAAGTGTTTTTGTAACTCATTATGAAACACAATTACTTTTCGCCAGAATCGATCTTATTAATGATGCAGCCCTTGGTGGGCTTGGATGTTGGCCCGTGCCATCCTCTAACTGCGCTGTGAAAGTCACGTTAAGGTCCAGTTGTGAAGGGTACATCAGGGTTACGTTGGCCACGAAACGAGCAACTGACCAACTGCGTATATGGAGAAAATAACAGCTGCAGGCATGCCAAACACCGGCAATATCAGCCGGTATATAAATCACGTAAACACAAGGCACATGGTGGACCAGGATTAACTCGGTTCCCTGCCGGCGTACTCAGCGCTATAAAACGCCAGATGCCTTTGAGTAAAGTGGAATCCGTCGCCTAACCTGACGGCCACCTACCCAGGGCTCACATTGCTAAGGCAATATTTAACACTTTTCACCGTCCACAACCTTCGTTTAAACATAGTGAACTCTGCACTTGCAATGTGCATATGGATGTAGGATGTCAGTTATTCATTTCAACGAGTATGCCAATGAACAATGATGGTTAATGATCTACATGATTTGACGATGTACGCATTACATCAGTGAATTATTTAGAATGATGACGTACAAAAGAATATCAATTATCTATGAGGACACCTAATACCGGGCTCTGGGACTGTTTAGAACCTGAGACGGTGTTGCCACCAGACTGTTGACGGCTAACAGGGCCATCAGCAGCAATTTGTAACCCTCAAAAAGACTCGAGTGGTCCCTTTAACATATTAATGCCACATGTACAACCCTTAAAGTTTTTTAGCTACGCTATCATTTTGGGGTTTTTAAGAGGCTTAACAAACTTTGCTGTTTCTGGCATTCTTTTCAGGGCGATGGAGTTCGTAGTAACTGATGTTCAGTTATCATTGAGCAAGACGCAGCAATTTCTTACCCGGGACCTTGGACAGAACATTTTTTGGAAACAACCGTTTGTCACATTTTCGCACGTGCACCGATTTGTTGTGCGTGTTTCAGGCTGCAACTCAATTTTCGAAAACTTCACGCACGCTGCCTTTCACTGCCCTTCTTTTCTGAGGCCATTTCCACATAAACAAATGCCAATTTCCTTGTTTACCCCCGGTCGAAAGGAAAATCTTAGCTTTTCATGCTGAGGCAGAGCAAAACCGCCAGATTGTTGTATCAGCCAGGCATAGTGCCACCATTTTTTGTAGTTGTAGGGGGTGAGGTTCACAACATCACAACCACACTTCAATAAAAAACGGATGCGAAATCATTGGATTAATGATAGGTGTAATAATGATAATAATGGTAATGATAAATGATAGGATAAATAACCGTTGTAATGCAAATGCAAGGCCGGGGGCACGGATAAGGCAAGGCCGTCGCACGCTGAAACTGCGTTTAGCTGTGAGAGAGAGAGAGAGAGAGAGAGAGAGAGAGAGAGAGAAGAGAGAGATGAGAGAGAGAGAGAGATAGGGGATAGAGAGAGGAAGATAGAGAGAGCGAGGAGAGTCTCGATATCAGAGAAGAGAGAGAGATGCGAGAGCTCGAAGTCAGAGAGAGCTCGATGAGGAGCATCGACGAGATGGAGCAGAGATGAGACGGAGAGGAACAGAGGACGCTCGAGAGGAGAGCACGAGAGATCGAGAGGGAGGACAGGAGAGATATCGAGGGGAGCGATCAGCTATGACTCTACTGGAGAGAGTGAGAGAAGAGAGAGGAATATAGGGTAGAGAGAGTCTCATAGGCTTGGGGTGCTAGAGGACCCTCTTGCTCGCACTGTTTAGATCATCCTTTTGTTACATCCATCTACACACGCTTGCCAATGAAATGTCAGTTTGCGATTTGAATTCCTTTGGTACATCTATCTACACAAGCTTGCCATGACATGTCATTTGTCATTTTTACACCTAAGAAGCTGGCTTTTTGGCAGCTGGCAGGCTTTTTCATTGAATCACGATCTGGTAGTGCTAATGGTTTCTAAGCTGTCAAGAAATACATGACTTGGCACTTGTCGGTGTTTAATGCCATCTTGTTGGTTGTTGTTCAATCTCGTCAGGGTGCTCTTGCAGCTGGCGGTGCTGATTCACTTGGTCAGTACATCACACCTGGGAAAATTTACAGCTTCTTCGTCCCATTTGACATAACTCACCGTTTTTAATCTTGAAAACCAATCCAAATATTAAACAGCCATGTCACATCGAGCGGCCACAACGATAAAATTCACTCTCGCGCAATATTAGCGCAACTAACGGTACCAGGGTACATACAAAACGCTGATAAGACTGACGTAAGGACGGAGTCGCCCAAGGCTCAACAGTCAGGTGAGCCATCAGCGGAACCATTCAGCCGCTCTCAAGCTGGCTCCTTGCCAGGCACTGCCGGACTGCCCGCTGAAAGCCATTCCGCTGCAAGTTATAGGACCTTCGAATGCTTCAAGATTGAACCAATAATGAAAATGCACCTGTCCACGGTTAGCGGACGCATCTGCAGCATTCGCCAAATCTGTCCATACCTAAGCAAGCTATGGGAGTTCTTATTTTTGGACTTTGACCTCGGACTGACCTCCGCCGGTCCCGTGAACTGCTCGGAGCTTCAAAGCTTGTGCCTAGGTAGACGCAACACAGATGCATGGAAAGACAGTAAAAGTTTCGCACTGCCCCCTCCGGCGTTTATTTTTTGTTGTTAAGCCCCCCGAAACATTTTTTGAAAATATAACATAATGATGCTACCATGCATGCCACCCAGATGCAAAAGGTGCTATGGTATCCAATGAACAGAAAAGATCCACAAAATTGCAAGGTCCCATCTGCTTGCGTTCTGATTCTACCGCAGACACGACGTTGACATTGGTGACAGCAGGTGGTGATCATTGGTAAGAGCGTACGAAAGTAGCAGTCGCGCCTGGGGAATGAAGGGTGTTGCATTTTAATACGCAAACTAAAATTTCATATCGCCTTTCACTTTTCCCTTCAAAAATATCTAGCATTCCTGGATTACAGGCGCGTGCTGCTCCCATCACCTCCTTACCCGGCTCTGGACTCTAGGCACGGACGACGTTAAATGTGGCCGTCCAGCATAACGGAAAATCACGGAGCGGTTTTCTGGAGCCATAGTAGCATCGTGCTAGCATTGTTAGCAATGTAATCCTACTAGTGTGAGGGAGCTTGGCTATAATCAAAACTGGTAATGGTCGCCCCTGAGTGAAAATCTGTGCGAAGAACATATTTCCTCCTGCAAGAATGTTGCTAGGATAGCGGGAGCCGTACCCTCTTGTCCGACGATAGAGGGGGACGCGTTTCCCCGTTTCCCCCTCCCCCCCCCCCCCCGGTGGCGCATCAGCTCATTCTAGAAAGCGCTGCAGTCCGTTCTATCAGCTTCTTCCTTCATATCAACAGCCATGTCAGCGCCGGAGGACTGTGTATCGAGCTCAGTGAGGGGGTTACCTTCGCACTGCAGTCGTCGCGTCACTCGCATCACGTGACTGCGAGTGCTGCGCAGCGGAAGGCGAGAGCTGATCGGGGCCGCTGATTGGTCCAAATAGGGATTATGTCATCACCTCACGAGCTGGGCGGAGCGGCGCCGTGGGTGGTGCACCCCTTATAAACCTCAGGAGCGGTGTGTATTGCATGAGAGAGACACGACGCGGCTTGGAAGGTAGGTGGGGCCGGCGCTCAGCACTCGATCAGCGGTGTCTTTTGGTAGGCGGCCGGACTGATCTCTGGTGTAACTGAAGGAAGGTATCTTATTATGGACAGCGTACTGAAAGAAATGGACGGCGACGAAACATGCCACACTAGTTTGCTTTAGTCAAAAGAGGCTTTCCCTAGCATTTACATAGGGGCGCAGCTAGGGTATTGGTACGGGGTGCCCTGGTTTGACGGAGTGCTCACCAGTGAAAATCCCAGTTTGCCTTGTCAACCCCCTGGCTGAAATAGGGAGAAGGGTTTCAGTTCAGTAATAGGGCACCTCTCTGAAACTGGGCAATTCTAACGTATCGTTATTAACCCTTTCATTGTTATCTTTCATGTCTCCTTCCATTGTCAGAGGGTCCCTATCAACACAAGAGACCCTCTGCCATTTGGAAAGCCATACCGTTCCTGTCCCTTCTCGAAAAATGTGCATGATCCCCGGAGCGACTCGGAGCCCCTTACGGGCACAGGATATCCTGCCCTGTCCCTATTCAACAAATGTGCATGGTCTTCGAGGCGACTCGGAGCCCCTTACGGACACGGGATATCCTACCCCGTCCCTATTCAACAAAGGTGCGTGGTCTTCGAGGCGACTCTGAGCCCCTTACGGACACAACATTCTGCTAGGCACTGTAACACAGGAGTCACGACTAATGCAGGGGGCCTTCAGTGGCAGCCGCAGTCCCTGACCTTGCCATTGCTTGAGAAGTGGGCCCCAGGGTCCATACAGATGCGGGACCGACTGGTCGGTGTTAGTGATTTCTTATCGTCACAAGGGCTCTAACTGGCCCAGGGGCTCCGACCGGCGCAAGGGGCTCTCTGGCTGACGCTTGAGGGCCCTGTCCTGTGTGCTGGAGTCCTTAATGGATGAACACGGTCTCCAGTCAGCCTTTCGGGACCTTTGGATCCGTCGGCACGTAAGGGGGAAGTGTCACCTGTCCCCTGTCCCCTGTAGCGCATCTGAAATAACGAGATCGCCAGGCTCGCCCCGTATTGGCCTCAAATGTGAGGTGTCCATAAGTGCTGACGTCGGCGGTGGACGTTCGCCTCCCGGGGTCGCACGCAGCGCGGTCACTGAATGGCAGTGGTGTGATGCGCCAGCATTATGCACCGAGGCAGCAATGCATCGCTGCATGTGCTTCGTTGAAGTGTTGGGAACCGGACAATCGTCTACATAGCAATACTATTACCTTCCGTAGGTCCCAATAATAACATCATGATTCTTCCTCCGCCAAGTCAAGAAGGTTGTGAAGGTTCTTTGAAAACTGACAAAGGACGGTAAATAGCCTCAAATTTTGACGGGCAAAGCCTCCCGACCGACGTGTTACAGAAATTCGCCTGTCCTTGCCGAGTGAGAAGAGAAAAGGTTATGACGGTGTCCTTCAAAGCCCGATGCAGTCAAATATTTTGTCATCTGCTGGAACAATGGCGGGTGTGTGTTGGTCAGCACAGATATTGATATTGATACTTATATTTATATACATATATGCATATATATTGATATTGATGTTGATATATTGATATATTGATACATATACAATACATATATTGATACTCACGGACATGCTGTTTTTCAAAGTTCATTTTGGTGAAGGACGCCTGAATAAAACGTCAGAAGAGCTACGATGTTTCTGCTGTTATGACGTCTGTCGCTGCGGAAAAACTGTTCCAATTCTGGTTTTATTTCGTTTAGGCAAATTAATTTAAGTAAATATTTGCAGCGGATCCAGTCCTTTTAAAATTTCGACGAAAACTAATCTAACCGTGTCAAAAATTTTCAGTCATCAAACCAACCACCATCGCTACTCACCTCCTTGAAGAGCAATTCCCTTAGCGTGGTGGCTAAGCTGCGCGTCTGGGAAACCAGAGGTACGGGGTTCAATTCCCTGCTGTGTCCGCCCTTCCAGTCAGGGTGAGAGGCGGGCGACGCCTCAGCAGCTGCGCGCGTGATGCAGCGCAGTGACACATGCCTTCCTCGCCAGTTACGCTGCTGTCTTCAGTGAAAGATGTCGAAAATGAGCGCCGTGAACGCGGAACTGCGCGGAGCGGGATCAGGCTCCGGCGGCACGTTCCTCTTCACCTCCGAGTCGGTCGGAGAGGGGCATCCCGGTAAGTGTAAGGCTCCGCTGGAATGTGCACATACTGCTGCCAATGCAACCGGTGTTATCCACATGCTGGCAGTACTGGCTGACAACGACAAGGCTTTATTTGGAGGTTTTGGGCGACTTTGCGGGCATTGATTTCGTTCCTCCGTCGTTGGGTCGGGTGCTTTATATTTGTGTTTAGAAGACTGAGACGAGTTGAGTTTTGGTCTGGCTTAAATTTTTTTTGATGATTTCAATTTTGATATTTAAATGTCGTAGAGGCTTAGATAAATGTCCCCCGTTCATCCCAGCTGAACGAGAGGGTCGCTTCAGAGGTTACCAACATCCCAGCTGAACAAGAGAGACGTTTAAATGTCAACAAATCTCTGTAACTGTTACCGTACGACACTTAAATTTTCCGTACCTCGTTTGTCATCAGTGTTGTACATTCATGGAATATTTAAAGACCCTTATTTGCATCGGTCACGAGTGGAAACATCTTTACTGACGTCGCGCTGGTTCCATTCCGCGGTTATGTGTCACCCCCCCCCCCCCCCCCCAACAACACGCATCGATCGCAATACAAGGAAGTCCCTCGGGACACATACGGAGACGTTCTTAAAGGCTTCCCCGTATTGTTTGCGATTATTGCATGGACTATGCATAGCGACACATTTCTGCGAGCTTAACTGCGACAAGTCATTTGAAGCCATCGGAGGCCCAATGCACCAAGCAAAAAAAACATCACGAGAGCAAGCCTCCACCCGCCATGCCCGGTTTTGATGTGATCACATTGATGGATTTTCGTTGCGGTTTGGCAACCGTTACCCGGCGACTTTTGACTCATTGTCTACGTGGCGCCGCCCTGAGGTTACATAGTGGGATCTGTGCTTGCACATGATGGTTGATCTATATTGCCCAATTCGAGGTATCAAGTGTGACACACTGATAAGTTACTATCGGCGTCCGGTGATGTCTGCAAAGGCTGCGCAATACGTTCTTCTCCGCTTTGGTAGGTTGCATAGCCCAGAGCTTAGAAGCCTGCATTCACTAATCTTAGCCCGTTGAAGGGAGTTTTTCACACTTGAGAATGTTGAAACAAGCATCAGATATAATGAAACAGTCCCACTTATAACTCTTGGTACGCTTTTAAGTGAAAAAACTGCTCCAGACAACACGATTTCTCTATTTCGTAAATATCCTTTTCAATGCGTCATTGCTTGATTGCGTCATCATGCCATGCGCAGCATTGATTTAGAGCCAGGTGGCGGTCATTATATATGGGAATCCCGCTCACGACCAAAAATCGAGACCTTAGGCGGGGCCGCGTCTCGAACCCATGACCTTTCAGCTCCAGTCCGGCACTTCACTGCGAAGGCGTTGCAACGCCAGGTGACCGAGGTGATTGCATTCCAGATAAGATATGTGACCAGGTGAGCGACGCCATTCTGGACGCGCATCTCCAGCAGGATCCGTACGCAAAGGTGGCTTGCGGTAAGTGGCATCACTGTAAACTTAAGGTCGTCGTTAAGTCGGTCTTTTGCTTACCGCCCGGGTTGCAGATGTCGCCACCGTCAGCTCAGCTTTTAAACCATCGCACCGTTACCCTGGCCAGTTTCATAAAAATAAACGGCATATTTATGCATGTATATATATATATATATACATAACTATACTGTACTTTGCTTGCTATGTACTTTTTATACTACACTTTGTTTGCATTGTGGTCTGTAGGTGTGACTCGCCCGTCGTTTTGAATGCCATCTTATCGATATGTCTTATCGATAACCGTTAAAAAATCGAATGCACGCAACTAAAGGGACAGTGCCTGCGGACAGTCCCGTCCACGACATGTTTGATGTGCATAGATTCACTATTTTGCTTCACGTAAAGGCCACCGCCTGCAGCCTCCAGAGTCGGCCCGAGGACCGGCTCACGCTGGTCCTGGTTTGGAGCGTTAGACACAGCACACGGGGGCACATGTTGATCTGCGAGAGTGCCGTATGCTGATGCACCATGTTATAATAGTGTAACATTTAAACTTTTAGCGATGTAAGCTTCGCGATGATTGCGTTGTTTGTCAATTTTCGGATTCATAGCAAGTCATGTCATGCTAAATTAGAACAATGGAAAGGTGTTGAAGCACGATGTTCCGGCATGACGCAGGTGAAGTGGTTATGGTTCTAGCGACGTGACGACGACATTCTAACGATGTTCTTATGCGCTAGACGTATGCATGACTTAAGCTGCCGCAAAGGTAAAGTCAGGGAATGAGGCTCTGAAACATCGAAATTACTTGGTGAGAAATGAGTATGAATCACGCAACTCTTCGCCGACGAAGGAGCGCTTCCAAGTCACTCAATGAGTGATTTATTAACTGACTCACTAAGTCACTTAGTAAGTAGCATACATATATATATATAAAGGATATTAATTAACGAACTCTCACAGAAAGTAAATTCATTAACGAACTTTCTCCAGCCCTAAACAGACAAGCAAATTTCTGTACAACTCTTAAACTTTTAGGTGGTGGGCGGTGAGAACCATTGATGTGATTGTGTCAATAGTGTTACCATTGTGCTTTTGTAGTATTCCATTATGAATGCATCTTATATGTATCAAATTGAGAATAGGATTCTGTCTTGCTTCGGTTAGCTATACTTTGTTTGTTTTCTCCGTGCCAAAAAATGTTTTCCCAAATATGTATATATATATATATATATATATATATATATATATATATATATTCATACATGAATACCCTGTTGGTTAAACACCACAGCTTGTTCTGCATCTATCTTTTAATCTTTCTTACATCAGGCCTCATGTTGGGTTTATGTTCCTAGATCAAGTCACCGATCGAAAGCACTACAAGCAGCAAAAAAATGTTTGTACAAATAACACCATCAAAAATGAGGTTCGTTCGTTACATTGCTCGCAATTGCTATGCTTCAATCACCATATACTATCCCAAGGCTTAGGCAACAATTTAAGCAAGGTGGGCAACAAAGCTACAGAAGCAATAGTAGGCTTCGTTCATACATATGCAATATACAACAACAGTTCAAGCAAACTACACGACTACTGCCATCTTCGTCGACATATGCGAGGATGTTATATTATGGTACACTCAAGAGGCTAACGCAAAGAACGGATCGACACAAGCTGCTCGAAGCATGTCATACAGTTCCAAGTTACTTGTAATGAACACTTACAAATGCACACTGCTTCCAGCACTTGGTATCTTCTTTTTCATTGCACCTGATGAGACTGACGTTGTTAGACACAAGTAGGTCTCATGTGATGTCTAGCTTATGGGCTTCTTTTACAGTGAATACCCCACGTTTAAAAATATCGATTCAAGCATGATACATGATGAAATAAGCTTACTTACATATATCAGCACACTTTTAGGTGGAAAAGATGCTCTAAACAACACCATTTCTCTATTTAGTAAATATGCTCTATGATACGCCACTGTTTGCTTGCGCTATGGAACGCATGCATGTTTGACGGCGCTCACTTGGAGTTCTTCAATCTCCCGGGAGGTTGCTCGTTGCGATGTGGACGTGTGATGAACCAAATATCGTTAGATATTCGTGTTTTGGCCATTTCTCGTTGTGTTTCTGCAGCACCTCACTTAGCAAAACTCGCAAAACGGCGTCGCTAAAAGGTATATATATATATATATATATATATATATATATATATAGCTGTAGCCATACATATCAACACATGGGTATATTATTTTATCCACATGCATGCATGCATGTATCTCTCTCGCATGAACTCTCTCTCTCTCTCTCTCTCTCTCTCTCTCTCTCTCTCTCTCTCTCTCTCTCTCTCTCTCTCTCTCTCTCTCTCTCTCTCTCTCTCTCTCTCTCTCTCTCTCTCTCTTTCACTCATATTTCTATGTATACCACGATGTGTTCAAAACATGCGTATGTTCATCAGTTTGCTCCTGGTATCGCTTCTGCAACGAAGGCAAGTCCCCAATATTTAAGATAATTAAACTTGTATATTTTTATGATGAACTGCACTCTCCACCACCGCTCGGCAATCGTTGACCCCCATTGTCTAAACTCACAGAAAGAAAACGACCAACACGAGTATACCCGTGTTGGCCGTTTTTGGCCCTTGTATGCTCCCAATCTGCGAGGATGACGGGCTTTGCAGGACCCTGACAGGCCTGCCGCTCACACAGAGACCGCCACCAAGACGGGCATGATCCTGGTCTGTGGCGAGATCACGTCCAAGGCCGTGGTCGACTACCAGAAGGTCGTCCGTGGCGCCATCAAGGCTATCGGGTATGACGACGGCAGCAAAGGTCAGTGACCTCAAAGCCATCGCGTGCTCATCGCGATATAGGGGATATATGTGGTCGAACATGGTAGGTCGTGCTAAACGGCTGCAAACGCTGTCATCAATTGCTGTCGGTTAGAATCTGACCCAGTGAGCAGATGGGGTATTTTGCTATTCGATTTTGTGATTTGGTTTTCAACGTAGCCGAGACACTCCAATAACTCCAAGGAATACATCTTAAAAGTGCAGCGGATGTTCTGGGTGCATAAACGTGCCGTGTGAACAAACCGCACCAACACTTACCTCATTTAAGTCTTCCATGTGTAGCATCCTGCCTAGATGACTAGATGTAGTATCGGGCAGGGAAACAGATCTGTTACAGCTGGGCACAGCAGCTTTCTTCTGTCTTGGTGTCACGACCACGAGGTCACGAAAAGCCGTGACACGAGCGTGACGGAGGGAGACTCGAGCAAATGCTTCCCATCAACAGGCGGCCAATAGACGGCGGCAATAGGCAGCTGTCTCATGCGGAGACTACTGCGGCGAACGGAGAAAGCTTAACATATTATTTTGCTTTGAGTCTTGCTTTCCGTACATATAGAACTGGGGCCTGCGTACAGTCTTAATTGTTTCGGGCAACATTTCACAACCCAGGTTCTAGAGCCCATTAGGCTCTGTTAAATTGCGTATTTTCTAAATGTCTGTCTGGGGAGCTGTACTTCCCAGACCACCAAACTGTGCATGCCCCTGCCTGAACTCCAGCTGGTGCATGTAAACAAGATCATCAGTCGCATCACACATCAGTACCGGAGCTCTTCGATGCCATCAGATATCACCATCATGCATCACCTTCGTCATGTCATGTATCATTTACCACCGTCATGTATCACCTTTATCATCTCATGCATCATGTATCACCATCATGTACCACCTTTATCAGACAATGCAGTTGACTGTATCCTTTATGCCCCTCCCAGGCTTGGACTACAAGACCCTGAACCTCATGGTCGCGCTCGAACAGCAAAACCCTGAGATAGCCGCCGGCGTCCACAAAAACAGAGACGATGACGATGTCGGGGCCGGCGATCAGGTACTGCCATCTGTCGGCGACTTGAGTCTTCACCACCAGCCGACCTGTCGGCCTTAACTGACCTTGCCGCCTCTACGTGCCACAGGGTTTGATGTTCGGCTACGCCACCGATGAGACGGAGGAGTGCATGCCCCTGACCGTGGTGCTCGCACATAACCTCAATCGCCGCATCTCGGAGATGCGGAAGGACGGCTCACTGTGGTGGGCCCGGCCCGATTCCAAGACCCAGGTAGGTGGCGGAAGGAGGGCTCGCGGTGGTAGGCCCGGCCTGACTCCAAGACCCAGGTAGGTGGCGGGAGGAGGGCTCGCTGTGGTGGGCCCGGCCCGATTCCAAGACCCAGGTAGGTGGCGGGAGGGGGGCTCGCTGTGGTGGGCCCGGCCCGATTCCAAGACCCAGGTAGGTGGCGGGAGGGGGGCTCGCTGTGGTGGGCCTGGCCCGACTTCAAGACCCAGGTAGGCGGCGGGAGGAGCGCACGAGTCTGAAGCTCAGTCTGGGAATGGCGCATACTGCAGCCCGGCACTGATGACTGCATCAGTGACAGGCTGATCATAGGCCTGGGAACGTTTCAAAAAGTGGGGGGGGGGGGGACGAGCATGTTCAGGGTGTACTTCAGGAACTTTTTCTTCACGAACTTCAGGAAAGCAAGCCAGATGACCCGCGGGGGGGGGGGGGTGTTGGAGGGTGTTATCGCTCTTTATTCAAATGTCAGCACAATCTGCCCTATTCGACCCATTTGTCATTTGGCAAATAAAGCTATCCAGCTTCCTGAGATTATTCGTGCACTTTAACATTGTCTTTCCTGGGGAGACGAAATTCCACGAGCGGGTAGGTATTTTGGGTCATTAAGGAAGCGTTTGCCTCCACAGCGTAGATGCCAAACACGGTCTGGATATAGGCTGATAAGAGTATTGAAAGTGGACCGATGGCTCACAGTGCGACAGATTTTTCATGCGCCTTCATTTCACTGGCTGTTTTTCAAGGGATAAGACTTGTCGCAGCATTTTAGGCGGAAACAAATTCGGGAGCTTGAAACTGCTAGAAACAATGTGACAAAAGCCATAAAACTGGAGATTCTCTTTTAAGAATCAAGCCACATGACAAGGTTCATTTGTCATTTGTCCATTGTCCGCCGCCGGCGGCCACTGCACTGGTCCGGATGTCCCCCGCATGACTGACTGCGAACTGATCGCATGGCTGCTTTGTTGCATATTTTGGGACCAGCGTTACAACTACATGGTGTATGAAACACGTGTTGGACACCTGCAACAGTATCTTTTTCCGGATTATCTTCCCTCACACCACACCATCGCAGAAAAATAGCCTCCGGAAAGCTGTCTGCCTTAGGTATGAATTGGTCCAACGGACACCTTATTGCCCATCATGCAACGTATACGGCTTGATTTGCTTTTGTGTGTAGGCTGGGGCGTAGCCAGAGCGTTGCCAGGGAGGAACACAAGGTTGACAAAAGCCCATATTATCGTGATCCCCCGCAAAATCCCCGGATACAGCTTACTTGTTAACGAATGACACGGTTTTCTTCGTTTTATTGTTATTTTTACCTTGTAACCAGAACAGAAGCCAGGAGGTACCGTGAGCTCAATTCTGTTTGCATTTTAAAGCTAATAAACTGCAGAAATCAGGCGTTGAACGACTGCATGGAGCAAATCACCGACTCTCTTAATTTACAATGGTTAGTTGACTTTCTAAACCGATATAATTCAAAACCTTTGTCAATTTTTATCTTGGTTCTACAGACATCCAGGACATCGCGAAGGTAGATTGTAGATCGATATGTTTGATCCAAATTTGAAGTTGAAAATTTGATTGTGGATCGAATGGTGAACAATGTGTATTAACATGGCCAAGCCATGTTTGTCCGAAAACGTTCACCATTCAGTCAGAATCGACTAGTGATACAATTTATGTAACATGTTTTTTAACACGCGCACTCGCAAATCTTAGCAACAAAAACCTCGACACCAGGCGTTACAGTCTTCTTAGTCCGCGGAGCTTTAGCCCAATAGCTGATATGCACAATAACAACAATAATGACATCCCTTATTTCCTTCCGAGCAAGGAGCCTGTTAAGTAGAACACCAGATGTACATTATCGTTTCCGGTCAAAGGCTGAAGGGCCATTCCGTCCCTATTGCGAAGTGTTTTCTGGCTATCATTCCGGTGGCACGGGGTGGGATCTCCTGGTCGATCCGGAGGCCATTAGAAGGATATATCATATCACATTGTTCCCATCTCTGACACGGGAGGCCATCTGACCCGCGCAGTTAACCCCGGATCAGCGCAGGAACCCTCATTGACGCAACAACATCCCTGATCACCGCAGGTAGTCCGAAAGTTGTCACATAGACTCCAGTTTCATGTTTTTTGTGTTCTTCAGAGGTATTGAGTTCTCCTTTACTGTAGATTATAGATGAAATGGGGTTCCTAATTTGTATTAACATGGCCTAACCCATGTTCGTCTTAAAATGCTCAAGATCCTGTCAGAGCTAACTACTGATAAGAAAACTACGTAATATGGTGTTGAACATGCGTGCTCGCAAGTCAGACCAATAACAGCCTCGACGCCCGGCGTTGCAGTCTCCAGGCCGTGCGGTGTCGGCTTTGCAGCTGTAACACTAAGCGATGGCCAATGAGCAAACGAAAAAGATGACGCATCTTAAGGAAAATGGCTGGGTGAACTAGACAAATCGGCATGCATGTTTAATGTAGTGAAAAAGTAAGCCAAATGCAGCCTTAATCTGAAAAATGTGGGGGGAAGGGCAGTTAACATTGCTGGCCCCTCACCTTGAAAAGTGGGAGGCCATGGCCCCCTGGCCCCTCCTGTTCCTACGCCCATGAGCCTGGTGGTGACCGTCTCTGGAACCGGCACGCTTAGCTTGCATGCTTGTTCGCTGACGCAAATCATGGTTTTGGGCTTGTCGATGACACTGGTTTCTACCTACACGGCCACGCGACCGACCAGGCGTCGGCTCTTAGTCATGTGACCGGCCCAAACTGGCCAATCGCTACAAGGATATCTTGAGACCACTCCTAGCACCGGAACCGTCTTCAGCGCCGGTCCGTTCAGTTCAATACCACCACAGAAAAGATCACGTCCATCTCGGCAAAATCACGTCCAACCATCTCGGATCACGATCACGTCCAAGAAACGATCACGCCCATCGCGGCAAAAATATGGGGTCATCGGTATTTTTGTCTTTGTACGGCAGAATATACGACAATCACAGCAATACCATTAGCGCGCTTGATGCACGGGCCATCCCAAAATGCCTCTCGCATGTGTTTGGGTGATTCGAGAGATGACGCCATCTGTCGGAAATATTGGGCTGCCATCTGTCGGAAATATTGCAAACACAGTTGTTCGCCCCGCCGCCAGGTGACGATCGAGTACGCCGACGACAACGGCGCGATGAGACCGTTGTTCGTGCACAGCATCGTCGTCTCCATCCAGCACTCCCCAGAGATCTCGCTTGAGGATCTCCGGAAGGAGATCATATCAAAGGTGAGATATTTTGTCACCGTTCACTGCTGATGGCATTGTGACGTAGGAAGTGTATATCGAATGCAAACATTATTAGGGATTGAGCTTGTTAGACTTTGTTGCGGATGGCCTGTCCAAGGCTCCCAGTGATTGCCGGGGGCCGGAGTGCCTGACACGAAAGAAGTAAATGGAGATATGGAAAGGAGCGCTGAATGTGGATGAACAATTCTTAGGGGTTAATAAAATCCTACATTTTGTTCCCAACACAACAGCTTCGAACATTTTAAAATTTGGTCAGTCTTGAAGTGGTTACTGCAGTGCCTTCTTTATCTGTTTTTCATGCGACATCCACATCTTCACTTCGAAAGTCGTTATCAAATGCGTGTCGAGGCTCGTGTGCCGATGTAGCTCATATGAATTTCTGATCACAAAGAAAAATAGGAAAAAGGGTGTGAATGGATGCGTAAGGGGGGGGGGGGCTGACATTACCAGATATTACCATTATTCCGGAGGAATATTAATCCCGCACATCAACCCTTCGTGAACATGTGAATGAGCACACAGGGTGCTTAGAATCTAACACCGTGCCTCGCATACGTCAACTGAGACGGGAAATGGGCGGGAAAAATTGGCGGGAAATTGGCTGGGGTAAGAGGCAGGAAATAAAAATCGCCACACAAACCCAGAACTAAGCGACCCAAGACAGCTGATCCAGACGTGACCAGTTGATCTACAGCTGACCCAGACGTGACCAGTTGATCTACAGCTGGTCCAGACGTGACCAGTTGATCTACAGCTGGTCCAGACGTGACCAGTTGATCTACAGCTGGTCCAGACGTGACCAGTTGATCTCCAGCTGGTCCAGACGTGACCAGTTGATCTCCAGCTGGTCCAGACGTGACCGTCGTGATCTCCGGCAGGTGGTGCCGGAGGTGATCCCTGCCAAGTACCTGTCACCGCGCACCATCTACCACGTGAACCCCTGCGGAGAATTCACCATCGGAGGTCCGCAGGGTGACGCCGGCCTCACCGGCCGCAAAATCATCGTCGACACCTACGGCGGGTGGGGAGCCCACGGCGGCGGCGCGTTCAGGTCAGTGTGTGGTGTGTGTGTGTGTGTGTGTGTGTGTGTGTGTGTGTGTGTGTGTGTGTGTGTGTGTGTGTGTGTGTGTGTGTGTGTGATGTGTGTGTGTGTGTGTGTGTGTGTGTGTGTGTGGTGTGTGTGTGTGTGTGTGTGTGTGTGTGTGTGTGTGTGTGTGTGTGTGTGTGTGTGTGTGTGTGTGTGTGTGTGTGTGTGTGTGTGTGTGTGTGTGGTGTGCATGTGTGAGTTGGGGTAGGGTGGGGGTGGGGTATTTGCTACCCTTTTTTAAAAGTGATTTTGATGCCTCCTATTTTGCCCGTGGCTTGCGCATTTTAAGACAGTTTCCATTTCGAAACGCCGCTTTTAGGTCAGGCTGGCACCCAGATCCCAGTTTGACCCTTCAGATCCTCATTTTCATCCACTCTCAGAGTTGTGGTTATAGTCATGTTGAGCCTGAGAGAGCCAGAGACGTACTCAGGAAGGAGGCAGAGGAATGAGGCAGGGACGTACTCAGGGAGGAGGCATAGGTATGGAGCTTTAACTGGAAAAGTCCCAAAACGGGAGACATCGGATAATGCCACATAGTTGTAGGTGGCTGCGAGTCTCGCCAAGAGGAGTAGTATTCGAACATTATAATTATTTACTCGGAATGGTTGAAAGAAGCAAAGATCGCAATTGGTTTGCTGCTGTCAGGCGTTTTTGAATCTTGTTGTTTTAGAAACAGGTTGTCAGAGCGTGGCCAAAATACAAAAGAGAAAGCGGCACGAATGAGTTAAGTCAGTGCTTGGTTGTGTTTTAGCTCATACGTCATTGTTTTCCGGTGTGTTTCAGTGTCTTCGGTATCACATTTATCTGCACGAAATTTTAAAAGCTTGTTGTGTTTCACTGCGATTCCCATTCCATTCACTGCAATTCGCACTGACAGCCGTGTCGTTTCCCATTCTGCTGTGGTCGGTGTGACGTAATATGACGCCAAAAATTTGACGAGCGACATGCGCTGTAGAATCGCTCTATCCTGCCATGGTCACTGTGACTTAATATGACGTCAAAAACTTGATGAGCGACATGCACCGCGGAAGAGATCCATCCTGCCATGCTCACCGTGAAATATGACATAAAAACTTGGTAAGCGGCATACGCTGAAGAATAAATCCAAGACATTACCGATGGTCGGCATCCGCCCGCCTCACGTGTCTCGTCGCTCCACAGCGGCAAGGACTACACGAAGGTGGACCGGTCGGCCGCCTACGCAGCCCGCTGGGCGGCCAAGAGTCTAGTCAAGGCTGGGCTCTGCAGACGCTGCCTCGTCCAGGTCCGTGTAAACTACAGCACACACTCATCAAAGATGGCCATGTGCAATAGGCAGATGCTTGTCCGTGTTGCGATCGTGACGCCTTCAAATTTTGGAGAGTGTATTCATTAACGAACTCTCTGGCCAGCCCCTAAAGAGACAAATAAGTTCTTGTACAACCCTTGAACCATTAAATGGTGGACGGTGAACGCTACCGATGTGGTTGTGGCAATATGTTTGTGTCTTTGTAGTGATCCCATTCTGGGAGTATTTTTATGTATTAAAGTGAAAAAAGGACTCAATTTTTCTTCAATTAGCCGTGATTTAGTTGTGTTTTCCATAACTAAAAATGTTTTCCAAAAGCAGTGCATATTTTTATCGTTAAAACTCAGAACTTATTTCTTAAGCCATTCAGCTTCTCCGGCGATGAAATGGGATCTGGAAACGTAAAAATGCAAAGCGCGACGAATATATGAGTAATTTTGTGCGAGCCATCTGATCTAAACGCTAATGCAAAGTCAAAAGCCCGGAAACTAGAACGATGTGTCAAAAAGCTCGTCAGTGCTGATTCAGCAGTTATTTTTAATCAAACATGTATAAAAGAAAGGATTCTGCCAAAACATTCCAAGACATATATACATATATATGTATATATATACATATATATATTTTTTGACACATGGTGTTTACATATATATATATATATATATATATATATATATATATATATATATATATATATATATATGTAAATACCATGTGTCAAAAATAAAAAGTTCACAATACTAAGATCCAAAGAATTACTGCACCGCGCTAATGCAGTACATTTGCTAATGCTCAAGTAAATGTCTGATGCAAATGAGTGATCCCGGATGGCCAAAGCGTCGGGGTTGGAAAGCCTTCCCAGCACGGTCGGGCCTTCCCAAATATCGTTGTACTTTGAAAGACATGTAGGCACATCGAGCAGTTGCGTTACGTTGTCACGTAGCTAACGCTCCGCACACCTGTCGGATTATATACGTATCGTGTGCAGTGTTCGTAGCTGCACGTTGTAGCTTATACGTGCCAAAACAGGCTGCAAGGTGCATGCCAACACAATAGCTTGAGCTGGTGACTCTATTAGCAGTCCAAAGGGAAGGTGGAAGGGTCCATGGCACGTTAGTGCCTGGACACGGTTCATATTAGCACCAGTATATTAGTACTGTCTACAGATTGAACCTGGTCACACTCGTACCACTCTACTATCAACCCGAGATGTAGCCAGTTTGCCGGTGTTTTCAGCTGTCTTACGCTATCGGCGTTTCTGAGCCCATCTCCATCTCCGTCTTCCACTACGGCACCAGCAAGTACAGCCAGGAGCAGTTGCTGGAGATCGTGAAGAAAAACTTTGATCTTCGGCCCGGCAAAATCGTGAAGTGAGTGCAGAATTCCTCCAGTTGTGATATTCTAGACAGTGCTGTTTAAAAGAAGCTGGCAAAACCGGAGGCGTCTAACATGCCTCTGATGAAACACCACTTTTTTCTTCGTCTTCTGTTACCGAAGCAAAAATTGGTGGCTTGTTTTCACGGCGAATGTTTTTAACTGGGCTCTGGGCTCTTAAAAGCTAGAGATGTTTGTGCAAGCAGCTGAGACAGGCAACGAAACTTCGTTTTAACGGTTTTGAAGTGGACAGAAGGGGCAGCGAGTACTTCCAACACGGAGTGTTGGACTAATGGAATGATGTCGGAGTGATGGCCACCTGACATTTTGTGGCATGCATGGAATGACAAATGAATGCATGCGTTTCATGGATCTAATGATGTTGAAATTAATGGAACGGTGTTTGAATGATGGCCACCGTGGTGGTTGGTGGGGGGGGGGGGGGGGGGGGCAAGCGTGCCAGATGCGATTCATTTGATTTTTTTTCAAACCGACACCAGTGCGCTTGTGGACATTATGTTCGAGGTTGGCCGATTTAGTTCTGAGTGCAACAGATTCTTCGATGTCTGAAATAGCTCATGGCTAATTAATATGCTAATGCTTTGATTGATCTTGGAATGCACCTAAAAGCTGCTTTCAATCGGTCAAGACACGTCGGTCAGGATCCAACAAACTAACATCCCTTAGTTCTGTTCAAATGCTGGGAACAACATTACTTTAGGCCCTGATCATCACCATGAGAGCCAGGGAAGGGCAACACCATGGTTTACTTGACAAACACCCATTGTCAGGGATTACCCTGGCCGTTTAACATGCATGCATTAGTGAGAGAGATTGCTCTGAGGCTAAAGTAGTGCACTATACGCTCTAAAAAACAACGGAACCTGCAGCACAATAAGACTCTGAGTGCTGGAATGTTCATTGGCTAACTACTAAGACCTTGCAGATGTCTTGAAATGTCTTAGTTAAAAACAACAACAGAACAGCGCAACATCCAATATTTATATGCTGCAGAGCACTTGGATCTTCAGAAACAGAGGCTACAACATCTTTTTATTTTATTTTAAAACGAGCACCCTGATATGCATCTTGCCTCTCTAACGGTGTCCATGGCGCTGATTTTTTATGACCAAATTCTGTACACAACAAAATAAGAAGGATGTGAAGAAAATTGGCAGATGTGCGGAGACGGAAGCAAAACACTCAAAGTTTGACTTACCGCCAGTCTCAGGCTCACCTCTTTCTCTGGGCTTCGTAAATAATTGTCGGCGGTTCTTCGTGTCACTTATAGATCCTTTCATCACCGAGTTAAGGTCACCCAACACGGTCATTTTTCGTCGCTTAGCGTTACGACGCGATATGAGACGGAACGGAAGTGAAAAACAATATCTGAACCGAAATCACGTACACGGCAATGAGAACAGGGCCGGCGCCGCCAGCGACATGCTCCACTCAGTCAAAATGGCTGAGAATGGCGCGCTCCGTGGCTATTCCCTGCGAGGGACGTAAATAGTCGGCTGCAATTCAGGTTTTCATCCGCCCAGAAGCGACACTTCTTGCCATCTCGCACATAGCTGCGGCATGGGGCACATTACGGAATCTCGTTTGTTGCAACGACATGCTACTTTAAGTTCCGTTCTGATTCGCATTGCATCCCAACACTGCGCAACAAAAAGGGGCAGTGTGAAACAGCCGTTAGAGTTTGTTCGCATCGACGTGGATAACAAATACTCTATGCCGTCAATGTTATTAATGACGTCATAACCCACACATTTTGCGCCTTTTAGTATTCGCAGCGGCCCGGAGGACAGCGATTGTTTACGTACGAGTGGTGCGACCTGTTTCGAAAGGTAACCGGACAAAAATTAGAAAGCTAAGAAGTAGAGAGACAAGGATTCCAATGTGAAGAAGCCAAGTGTAAAAAAGCCGAATGCGCAAAAGTCAAAGGGAAAAACGTCGAAATTAAAATCAAAACCACAAGAGGTCAAAAGGACACGAAGCCAATTGACAGGATGTCAAAGGGTAAAAATATAATCTAACAAATTGATAAGACGAAAAATCAAAAGGGATAAAAGTCAAAAAGAGAAAAAAACCGTCAAATAGGTCACAGTAAGTCTTGCGGTGCAATGCAAGCCTTGATTCTAATGCAGTTGCTGAGTTCATCCCAACGCACCAAGGAATGCAAGATATCAGTGCAAGTCTAACAATTGTCATGCAAACACAACCCCTTGTAATCTCATCTACAACCATCTTGAAAATTCGTTCAGTTGAGTCTAGACAAACGTTCAACATACGGCTCAAGGAAAAATCGCAAAAAGACTCACATGCTTTATTCGAGGACCCGATTGGCTGTGCCTTTATAGATAAGGGAAACCTACCAACTTCTGAGTGTAGTGTGTTTCCATATGTATATAACCGTGTCTGTACATGAGTGCACCGTTGCCTACAATCTAAGTCAGTGCATATTTGCCGTAAATAAGTTTTGATCCTACAATGGGTACTGTCACATGACGCTTACATGAATCACTAGCCCGAACCCATAATTTTACGAATAAAATAACTAACTAAAGCAGGACATAACATGAATTAGCATAGACTCAAAAAAATGATAGCAAGCAGCATTGTCATCATGTGCAACGCATAGAGACGAGGGAGGGCGGCATGACAGCCTGCCGTTTCTTCATTTTCATCCCTCAACGGGCTTTGCCAACATTTTTGATGACCTGAACATGCATTGGACAATACCTAACCATACCTCACGCAGCACCTCTGCATTGTAGGCTTTGTGCGATGTCTAAGCTTCTCTTATATTCCAGAAAAAGTATTTGGGGGCTAGGGCACATTGAAGGGGCACCAACAATCAAACGTGGAGGCAGAACCCTCATAAAAATAAAAATAGACACCCCTGCTATCCTAGAACGATGAGCAGATAGCTTCAACCGTCAGTCACCGTCTTCTAAGCTGAAGGCAATAATTTTTAACAAACAATTAAACTTTACCAGTCGCAGTCGTATTAGGACACCCTGGCTGTGTGACTTGTCTGAAGTGTGACATTTGACTGCAAGAGAGAAAACACATCATAATCGCATATCATCATATAACAGACGCATATGACGTGCGCGAATGTGCGGCTGAGAACTAGGGATTAGGAGCTGGCACTAATGAGAAACAGAGTGAACCTGTATCCAAGATCTAATGTGCTAAAAAGAGCCGTTGAGAATCAGAAGCCAGGCCCATTGTCTGCTAAGTATTAATAAAGTTATGATAAGCAGAATTCAGGGCGTTGTTTCGTTGACAGGTCCAGTTGGAGCCATGATCCAGGTTGTTGTGCAGTCAAAGGAACTAGGAGGAACCAGGATCTTGGGTTTTATTTTTTGGAAAGCACCAGGCAGAACCCGGATACAGGATATTGTGTTGAGCCAGGATCTAGCGTTTTCCTTTGTCGAAGCAACCACTGGAAGACAGGATGCAAGGTTTTGTGTTGTCAAAAGAACAAGTGAGGACCAAGATTCTAGTGTCTCGTTTCGTAGAACGAGACATCGGGAACCAGGAATCAACATTCTGAACGTAGCACATGTCTGCCTGGATTCATTTCAGAAGTTGCCTACCATTTCTCATTAATTCTTATAATCTTGACAAAATGTAACACAATGGAATCCGAACTATGCCGAATTTACTTATGCAAAACATGACAAAAGTGTTTCCAATAACCAACCTAATATAAATAGCCGAATCGGTCCACACAAGTTTTCGGTGAAGCGAATTTTGGCCTCAGGTTGACATCACAAGTGAATGATTGGATACTAGCATCTAATCCGCGATGACAGGATTGATTTCGTGTCGTTCTCTACGCATGAAGTACGACGGTGTGTCACATGTCCCCAAAAGTAGACACAATGGCACCGCTTGTATGGCTCACTGGTTGGCGCCTGGCAATGACACTGTTTATTGGCACTGACACTGACACTGGCATTGCTCTTCTCCAGGGAGTTGCAGCTCCGCCAGGCCATGTACCAGCGTACTGCCAGCTATGGTCACTTCGGTCGCAAGGAGTTCCCCTGGGAGCAGCCGAAGAAGCTGACCATCTAATGCTGATCATAGATGGCAGCACGCGTCGAACGTGCTGTGTGTTGCTGGCTATCCCCGCGAGCACGCATGGCTGAAATGGCGCCGAGGCAACTCACATGCGCTTGGATATGATCATACCGTTTTGGAACGACGATTAATTGTTCTTTCTCAGTGGCCCTATCTAATAACGTGACGTTCTGCTTACCTACCTCCAACAACCCAAATTCCATCAAGGCCTGTTCCGATTAAGATGCCTTTAGCGGGGGGCGCTTGCTGTCAGGTGATAACGTAATTGCTAGATTGTTTACGCGTCGTCAATGTGAAGTGTTACCTAAAGGCCCGATTTTTCACATGGCTTCTTACTTTAAAGTTAATCGAAACCTGGAGATGGACCGATCCAAAATTAGACTCTTTGAATGCCTTTGTCCACAGATCAGGCATGGTGCCGCGTGTCTTGCTGTCGTCCGTACCGTTTGTTGCCATCAGGCAGGGCTGATGAGGGCTGACGACGCCCTGTTTCCATTTTTGACTCACTCATCACCGGCGAGCAGACCGTCGAGTGCTTTGGTCCTTTCTACCGTGCGAATAACATCGTTCATTTTAGAACTCAACTAGGAATTGTGTGCTGGAAATAAGCACTATCCCCTGCTAAAGATGGAAAGAGATTAGGCAAACAAAACAGCCAGCAGCCACAACGTAAATGCATTTGATACATATCAGGTTATAATAGTTGGTACCTTGGTTAGCAGTAGCTTAGAAATATACGCCATTGGGAAATATCTCAACAAGTAATGCCATGTATCGGTTACGAAATATCACTGCGACCACTACCCATTTACCGCTTTGAAAACACCGCTTACACCAATGCTCGTTTTAATCAAGTACTGCCAGGAAGCATTCCGTTGATATAATCTAGCGTTTAAGGGTACGAAGGAAAATCCCGGATAGAAATAACGATACACAACGGCAACAGAGGCTTGTTATCAGCACTAACAGAATGGGAAAAACTACCGGCGCAGACATAACGGTAGCATATATTTTTTTATCTGTCGGGCTTACTGCCCCAAGAAAGGCATGTTCCGAAGTGTTTTCAATTAGCCCGTCGGAAAAACCGTGAAGCGGAGTTCTAAATCAGGCTGAATATAGACAGTCATTCAAAGCAATGGATGTCAGTTGAGAGGCGCGCGACGATGACGGCGCATCAACCGCCTATCACCGGTTGATGCGCCGTGGTGGCGGTGATGGTGATGAGGACCGAAATACTGAGCTGGGCATTGCGAGTCACGGTTTCGAAGATGAGATGTGGTGTCAGGAGAATACGCTGATGTCGGTGATTTGATGGCGATAGTGGATGACGAAGGAAATATATGTCTTGCGCCGGTGGTGGCTGGCTGTGTTGATTAGTACACATGGGGCGAGATCAAGTCGCTGCTATGGTGCACGCGGTTCCCATACTACAAACGAGCGGAACAGCAGACGGAGTTTGAAACAAGCGAGGAAATTTTTTAATTGGAAAGACCCGGTCCGACTTGGTGGTGTCACTGAAACCCGTCCGCTACGTCTTCTAGAAAACAATATTTTGCAACCACTGATCGCGCTTGATTGGCTTGACGCAGTGATCGACAATACAGGTGCCAAGTATTTGGAAGCTGCGCCGGAAAAATCTGGAGCAGGCTGTTTGACCGGATGGGGATGTCTTTGCCACACACAATCGGCACAAAACGTGGCCTTCCCCCTATCTAATTATGACAGAAAACGTGAAGCTTGCCAATGTATGGAAAATATGTACAGCAGGAGTAAAAACTGGCCCAGATGCTGGTGACCCCACCTCGTAGCGACACGAAACAAGAACATGTTAACTGTCGAGGAAAATGGATGATGGTCTCGGCAAAACTTTAAGCTGTGTCCAGCCAGTCGCGGAGTCTCGAACGTAAGCCATGGATCCGCCAGTTCTAGATCGTTTTTAATGAATGAAGTCAGATCCTAGGAACTGCGCAAATAAAGCCGTGTAACCAGATGCACGCTAGTAGCCAATGTATCGAGGACAAATGCATCTCAAAGTTTTGTTCACCCAGAAGTGCGCCAGTAATTAAACGGAAAGTGACTAATACCACCTTTTCCTTGACCAGTCTTGAATGCAACACGCAAAGGCAAAACCGAGATCAGGCCATTATGTCCATGTGGGCGTATGAATTCTGGTTGTTCTGGACAACATCCAACCAAAATATCAGCGCTTTTCGCATCGTTTTGGTCGCAGCCACCAAGTTTCACGAAATTACCACTCACCATGAATCGTGGCAAAGCCGATTTCGTTCATAGCTAGTCAGCTTCCAAGTCTTTTTCGGCGAATTTAGTGTGTTCCTCCGTGAACTTCCCCGCCAGACCATCATGAACGAAGGGCTGCTGAACGCCTTGATAACACCCGTTGCCATCAGCTCCATGCCGTGGATGCAATCAAGAGAGCAGTGCTGATCAACGAATGCAAAAAAAGTTTCGGCGAGAACACCACTCAGGGCAGCGGCAGCCATCTGAGGAGCAGCGGATCCTGGGAGGAGCGGCCGCGCCATCTGGGAAGCAGTCACCGCGCCATCTGGGAAGCAGTCACCGCGCCATCTGAGGAGCAGCGGATCCTGGGAGAAGCGGCCGCGCCATCTGGGAAGCAGTCACCGCTCCATCTGGGGAGCAGCCACCGCGCCATCTGAGGAGCAGCGGATCCTGGGAGAAGCGGCCGCGCCATCTGGGAAGCAGTCGCCGCACCATCTGGGGAGCAGCCACCGCGCCATCTGAGGAGCAGCGGTTGCGCCATCTGGGGAGCAGCCACCGCGCCATCTATGGAGCAGTGACTATGCTGCTCCCAGGTGACACCATCTGGGGAGCAAAGGCAGCACCACCTGGGGAGCGGCGGCTGAACCACCTGGGGGGCAGCAGCATCGCCTCCTGCAGTGACAGCGCCACCCGATGCAGCAGCGCCTCCTGCAGCAGCAGTGCTACCCGATGCAGCAGCGCCTCCTGCAGCAGCAGTGCTACCCGATGCAGCAGTGCCCCCTGCAGCAGCAGTGCTACCCAAGCAGCAGAGCCTCCTGCAGCAGCAGTGTCATCCGATGCAGCAGCGGCATGGTTGCCTGGTGCGTCGTAACCAGCTCTGAAATTGGAGTTCATCTGCTAAGATTTGAGCGACATTTGTATATGCACTGGTGGCCTGTAGAAGGGGCGTACAAGGGGGGGGAGGGGCAATCGTGAAGGGAAGATTTGCCCCGCCTGCTATATTTACTTCCAACGATGCCAGTTCCACGAAACTGTCAAACTGTTGTCATGCCTTATTGATGCCGCTGTTGATCACATGGCCAGGCAGCCACAGATCAAGTTCTTTAGTGGTGAGCGGCCTTTACCGCACCGGGCCCTCGTTCCTCATCCCCGCCTCATTCTACACCCGCAGAATTCCGTTTGCCGGAGGTAAGCTGCATGCATCAGCCACAAGTGAGATGAAGTGCCCTCTAGCGGGAGTCCCGTCCGAGAGCCTGCAGATACCTCCGAAAGGGGTCACTGTACAAGCTGACGTCTCGGTGCCACAGGACTCCCAGATGCGCTTGGTCCTGTCGGTTCTGTCCCACCCGGTTCTGCCCCCTCTCAGTTCTGCCCCATCCAGCTCTGCCACACCCAGTTCTGCCTTCCGCCTCCTGCTATCAACTTCCCTCCTCCCCGATAGCCTGAAATCATCCCTGCTAGTTGGAGGGCTCCAATCCAAACCAAACCCAATAGGGACCCTTGGAAGCGGCCCAAAACCCAATTTATGCAGACCAACGGTCACGACCTGGTATGTGACAACTCAAACTAGTGGAATGTCACGCAGGTAGGACACAGACGCTGAGGGCCTGTGGGCAAACGAGGTCCATCCGTCCATCAGGAACCCTCTCCGTCTGATGAAGAGCCCTGCGACTAGGTTTGTGGCTCTTAAGACACAGACCTGTCAAGTGTCCCCGATATTTACCTTTTATCCGAACAACACGTGTTCTGCGTACCGAGCGGCCGACTTATTTTGAGTCTGCCGTTCTTCCCACACGGGAAAATGAATGTAGGGTGTAGAAAATGGACAACGTATACCTGCTAGATTGCCAGCCATGTTCTTGCATTGCCATAACGTACCATAGCCCACACAAAATTAATTTCAACGCAATAAAGTGGGCGATTGTTATCACTTTTCAGTTGGGAGCGAACATGACCGCAAAGATCAAGCATGTTCAGAATGGCGCCCTAATCCGTTAAGTTGTGAACGGTGCGAAAAGGGCCAGGTTTGCAGCTTTCCGTACATTGTTCATGCATGTATTGCGTGGAACACCAACCAGTGAGCATTCATCAGCACCACGTCTGCTTGTGTTTATGGAAAATGACCTTTCGTAGTCAAGGACCTTGGGAGCAGTGTAGCAGCTGGCCCGTCACC